CCGATGTCGAGGATCATAATGAGATCGGTTATACACCTCTGATGAATACAGCAAGCACCGGGCATATTCATATCGTCAAGGTTCTGCTTGAATACAAGAACAGCATCAATACACGCTCTAATATATTTGAAAAGAACATCATTGGCTTGTCTTAAAAATGGTTCAGTTATTGCTAGAAACTGGCACAGATCAAGAGCATAAATTCCACGAGATGCATATCGTTCTTATCGAGGCAAAAATAAACAGTCATATGAAAGTGGTTTTTTTTTTAGATTCAGTCGCCCAAATAACAATGATTAATACTTCCGAGATGCCATTAACGTTCGCTGCTAGCAAAAATCTTGTGGACTTGGCTCAGTTCGAGCGTAGAACAAACATCGAAGAAGTTATTGACGATGGTTATACGCCATTGATGCAAGCAGCATTCGAGAATAATGAAGAAATGATCGCCTTACTTTTGAGTGAAGGTGCAGATATCAACGCTTACAATAAAGGAACTAAGGAAACGATATTTGTTTTGAGAAAATGATTGTTTGATGTTGGAAAAATGATTGAGAAACAGTCGATCTTTTAATCAAGGTGGCAGCGGATATTGAGCTTGATGCAGACATCCCTCTGATGAAGACGGCGGCGGAAGGATAGATCTTAGATCTTATTCAATATTTACTGGAATCTGAGGCAGATGTTCACGCTCACAATCAAATATTAGAAGAGGAGAGCCAGGAATCTTACACGACATTCACAATCGCGTACAAAAATCGTCATCTTGCCGTTGCTAGTTTCAAACAGAGTTTCATATAATATCGTTTACTGTCCGGTTATCTTCTCAGTGAACATAAGTTGAAAAAAGATGTCTTAGATCAGCGCCAAATTGCAATAAAAGACTAGCAATGGCAAGATGACGATTTTTGTACGCAATTGTAAATGCCGTGTAAGATTCCTGGCTCTCCTCTTCTAATATTTGATTGTGAGCGTGAACATCAGCCTCAGATTCCAGTAAATATTGAATAAGATCTAAATATCCTTCCGCCTCTCCATTAGAGGGATGTCTGCATCAAGCTCAATATCCGCTGCCATCTTGATTAAAAGATCGACTGTTTCTCAATCATTTTTCCAACATCAAACAATCATTTTCCCAAAACAAGTACCGTTTCCTTAATTCCTTTATTTTAAGCGTTGATATCTGCACCTTCACTCAAAAGTAAGGCGATCATTTCTTCATTATTCTCGAATGCTGCTTGCATCAATGGCGTATAACCATCGTCAATAACTCCTCGATGTTTGTTCTACGCTCGAGCTGAGCCAAATCCACAAGATTTTTGCTAGCAACGAACGTTAATGACGTCTCAGAAGTATTAATCATTGTTATTTGGGCGCCTGAATCTAAAAAAAAAACCACTTTCATATGACTGTTTATTGTTGCCTCGATAAGAGCGATATGCATCTCTTGGAATTTATGCTCTTGATTTGTGCCAGTTAGCAATAACTGAACCATTTCTAAATGTCCATTAAAACAAGCCCATAGCGTCTTTTCAAACGTCTTTTCAAATATATTAGACCATGTACTGATGCCGTTCTTGTGTTCAAGCAGAACCTTGGCGACATTAATATGCCCGGTGCTCCTTGCTTTTATCAGAGGTATCGATCTCAATGTAAAATTCGACATTAGGTCCAAAGTCTATTAAGATTCGTACAATCTCTTCATGTCCACCGGCGCATCCGTACATGAGAGGTATATCACATGTAGAATGAGCTCCGTGATTTCCATCCATCCATTATCCATTAATATCAGCTCCGTGAGCTATTAGCAACTATACGATACACGCTACTTGCTGCTTCCATCAAAGGTGTACGACCATTTTCATTGTAATCCCCAACATCAGCTCCCCAATCTAATAAGATGCGTACAACTTCTTCGTGTCTATTAACACATCCATACATGAGAGATGTATTATTTGAGTATTAACATCAGCTCCATGAGCAATCAGCAGAGATACAATATCTTCGACGCTGCTTTCATTAAAGGAGTATGATCATCTTCATTGTGATCTTCAATATCAGTACCTGAGTTAACATCAGTACCTAGTAAGACATGTACAATTTCTTCGTATCCACTGACGCATCCGTATATGAGAGCTGTGTTACATGATGCAGATCAGGTATTAATGTCGGCTTCGTGAATAATCATGCTCGATACGATATCCACGTACATTGATAGTTTCCATCAAAGGATGCGAGTGTCATCGAAGTTCATCTTGATATCTCAATCTTCTATATCCATTGTTGTGTTCATCGTTAGGAGTACTTGAGCCAGCAATTGTAAAATTGTGCAGGAATTGATTGAAATACAAAATGCCGTTACGCTAGATTATGCTGCGTTGCATTTGAAGTAATGGCGATATCTAAGGGAACGGAGTAAAAAAAGGAAATCAAACTCGAAGATGAAAATGGGCTCGAAACATAATGTCGGAAAACCATGGAAACTCGGGACGATTTTAGTACCGTTATGAAATGTTGGAAGTATATACCACATGATAATACGTATGGAATACATATGTATGCACGTTTTATTTTTAATATAGAAATTCCAATTTGAATAAAATTTAATTTTATTTGGTTAAATGACAAATGCATCAATATAAATATGTATTTTTTGGAAAGTACATACATTTATGCATCGTCATAAATTATCATTTTTCAACTTACTTTTTAAATTATTTCGTTTTTCGACATCACAAAACTTCGAAATTAAAAAGAATAAAAATGAAATTGAATGACAACTGTCTTTCTCAGAATATATTCTACGTATGAAAATACACAAACTTACAGAATTACAGAAAAAAGGGAAGAAAAATATTTATAAAATTCTTTAAATTGATAGTTTTCTTCGATTAACAGAAACGAATTGTTCTCGAATTTGTTCTTCCATAGAGTATCATAGATACCTATATAAAGAGAATAGCGCCAATGCTGATTGGTGCCTAATGCTTATTGATTCCATTAGGTTCTTATTATTAGAAAGAAGATAACGTTAAAAAAAAGAAGAGATTAAGACAAGCAACTGCGTAGATATCATATCATATAGACATATGTAGGATACCAAATGGCGACTTTCGATTGATTGTCTACTCTTTTTATATCTATTTTATTCTTCCATACAGCGTTTTTCTGATACTATGTTTCAAGCACATTTTTTTCGGGATTGACCGCTTAAGATTGAATAAATCACTATAAACGTGAATATTCGCATATCCGCCATTTTTACTCCTTTTCCCCACTCCTTTACTCTTTTCCCACTCCGCCACTGAGCTGAGAAGATTATGATTGTTATAGTTGTTATAGGTTATAGCTTCTAAGTTTTCTATTGAAAATCTTGTAGCTTCGTATTTATGTGTTTCCGCACTTTGAAATTTTACCATAAGACTAAGAGACGAAAAGAAGGATATAAAAAACTGAACTATTATATATTAACGAAGGCAAAAAAATTTATAAAATATCTTGTTGCGTTGCGATAAACTGTATCAATAAATCGGAAAAATATATTCGATTATTTAAATTTCCTGCGAATAATATTCGTCGACAACTTACTGTATTGCTGTAAAATAAATACATGACTTGTAAATAAATATCACTACACTTTCTCGCAGATGAGAAATTTCAATCCTTTTCTTCAAATTGACAAACATATTTAGCACTTTATCTAGAAATAACCTGAACATCAGATGTTCTTCAGGTCCTGCACTAATATTACGATAGATATCAACTGATTTTGAGAGCAAAAATGGAATGAAAGGAGTTATAAAATTTCAAGCAGCAAATACAAATCATGACCTGAAATGATCATAATTCATCACAGCTCCGTGATGGAATAGCGACAGAGTAAGTGAAAAAAGGAATAAAACTGGTGAACGCAAACATCTACATTTCTAGTATTCTAATTTGATCTTATGCTTCCGGCATACCAGCGCGATGTTCATCGCGCGCGACATGCGATATCTAATGAGTGTACACCGATGTTTTCATTCTATACTTTCATTGGATATTGCGTGTCGTTACATGTAGTGCGGTATGCGGTACGCGGTACAGAAACTAGATAATTATAAGAATCGTGCAAGCCGTGCTGCTTGCTTCTTTTCCTTTCTATTAAGTGTAGCGCGGTAGGCGGCATGGGATAGTAATAACCTTTGATATGAACTTTTTTAATATATTATCTTATTTCTATGCACATTTCATCAATATTATTTTTTTCAACGGATTTATTTAACAATTGCATTTAATTCTATTAAAAAGTGCTTAGTAACGTGAATTTGTCACTGGTCAGTACAGTGTACCGCGCTACATATAATTGTACCTTAAGGGTGATGTCCCATGTAGCAAAATGTACGTAAGATTCGTCATTCACAGAATCAATTATCTATTAGATCTGTTTGCAAATTTCGCAAGAAGATCTAAGAGAATGATTTAAGGCTTCTTTAAATTTATCTTCAGATACTCTACGAATTATTTCATTGTTACTGAGCATTTAAAGACAAATTTAAGGAAGTAAGTACAAGCTCTGACTATGAATACGGGCATTAGGCTATGTTCCAAAACTTCTTCAAGGAAAATTTTATTCGAAATATATAATATACATAACGTATACTGTAGTATATAGAGTAAATTCTTCGGAGAAGAAATTTTGGAACGTAGTTTTTAGGCCGTAGGTTTTATTCATAGTCAGATCTTATGTTCAAGACCATCTTAAGTATGGTCTTAAGAAGTCACGAACCAATCAGAGAGCTACATTAGCGTCTTAAGACATTACTTAAGACGGTCTTGAAATAAGAATAGGCTATGAATATCGGCCTTAAAAAAGGATATTCCTCCAGGACAAATTCTTAAAATCTTGGTTGGTATTACTATTGTTACTAGCGCGAGTAACTTCAAGCATTTCAGATTTCGTATTCGAGTCAACACATCAAGACATTTCTTTCGCACAGGTCATGCGTAGCAAAATGGCCGCCTGACTCGAGTGAGTGAGTGAGTGAGTGACGTTTCTCGCAAGGTGTTTGCGTCTGCGATCGCGCCGCGCAGTCTTCGCGCATGAATATTCGCGCGTGCAAACGTGTACTACTTTCGCAACGTGTCACACGTTCATCTGCCTCACCCGCGCGGAAAGTGGTCGTTTGTGCGACCGCAAGTGAATGCGGCTGCATTCCGCCTGCACTGCTCGTCTCGCCGCAAACGGATTTAGGTGCGTATTAATCGCATTTGCGTATTGGTACGTTCTCGTGGTGTATGGGTCGTCAACGTGCAACACTGGAACATGCGTCGTCGATCCGCACCGGTGATCTGTGATTTACGATTTCCACACGTCCTAAGGGCCGAGCTTGCGCGCGCGTGCACACGCACACACACACACACACACACACACACACACACACACACACACACACACACACCACGCACACATGCGCGCGCGCGCACACACACGGATGCATGCACGGCAGGGAGAGTTTGGTTATATTCCGGACATGATTTTTTTCTCCGTCACTTTCAGTGGGCGGTATTTAAATGACAGAACTGGACCGACGCGACATACCGTCGACTGATTTAAAGCCCACGTCTGTTTTCTCAATTAGAACGGTTGCTTTTCTAATCATGCACGTTGAGTTCTGATCTGTCGTGAAGAAAATGTCGAAAAAATGTTATGTGAATACATCCTTTTGTTTTATTTCTTTTATATCGCCATTTAATTTGTTTCTTTAGTATTATCGAATTAATGTATTATCGAAAATATTTTCTTTTTTAATAATTTTGACTAAAATGATGTTTAGAAGTATATAAGATATTGCATATGTTAACAGCAGAAATTGATAAGAAATTTTATAATTTATCTGTAGAGAATTGTGGAGATTTCAACATATTGAGCTAAACATACAAACCGTCTGCTTCACAACTAAAAATTTTCTCATATATATTTATTATTTATATATAAATAAGTTTCTTTAAATTTTTGTAACAAATCAGATCAATTTTTCATATTTAGTCTTATTAGAATGTTCTAAGAATAGAATTCTTATTTTATAATAATTAAAGAATAGAAGATATTCTTTAATTATTATAAAATAAGAAATTTACACATAATTTCTTAACTTAGTTATTTTTACTGCATTCAGAATAAGTTTCTTTATATAATTATCATAAGAAATTGTAAATGGAATACGGAATATAATTTTTGAATTATTTCATATCAATATTTTCCAATTTATGTTAATTTACGTTAATATGTTAATTAAATTTAAATTATTCTTCTGATATTTTTTAAAGAATTAAAGAGGCAGAGGATCAGTGTGCATTTATTTATATTTAATTTAATTTAAATTATATCATGTATTTACAGAGAGAGCTTATAAAAATAAAGAAAAGGAAGTTAATCTTGCTAGTTTGTGCTTATTATATCGACTCCCGAGAAGATTTCCTTATAATTTCATGTTATATTTGGGCCAAAACGTTCCACATTTCTACTCTGACATTACGTTGACCTGGTTCAATTCGTATGGAGAGGAGGATCAAATGGGATGACCGAGTGATTAATGCGCCTGGGCCAGGCAAACTGGCCCCGGTTGCTCAGGCTCATGTGAACTCGGGCAATTAGCAATTGGCTAATTATATGGTTAACGGGCGATGAATAACACAGTTGCACGAGCGCGCGGCGCTTAATTGCGCGCCACAAATGGAAAGACTCTTCCTTCCCGTGCATTTTTTCCACGTTCCTATACCAAATCACAGCCGAAACACGAACGATTTGCTTCCTGTGCTTCTTATCTAAATTCAATCTGAGAAGGATATCTCGGAAATGTAGGTTTCTAAAAACAACTTTTTAACAACTTGGTCGTTACGTGAAAGAACAATTTTATAAAGACGATCATGTTGTATCTTCTGAGTATGCGACTCATGTATTATTAATAATCTGTCAATATATGTATGTATACGCTCTTTTAAAAATATTCACAATGTTGAATCTACTATTTATTTACTATTTGTCATTCTAGTCTTTTTACAATTACACAAGCTTTAATGTGTGTAATCCATAGTTATTTATTATTTTTGGATTTCTTCAAAGATAGATTTAGCATAATGCTTAAAATATTTAGAATAAATTTAGACATTAAGATAAAAAATTATCCTAAGTTTGTAGCTGATGATACTTTTTGTTTTTGTTTTAGAGGAGCAATATTTTCGGAAGATGGATACTCGGTGCAAAGCATAGGTATGCTTCCAAGATATTTCATCTTAAATTAATCCTTTTATTGCACCGTGAATTGATCGTCTTTGAGAGATAATGCAAAGAAATTAATCCGTTATATTACAAACAGCGAACAGCAGAAATTTCGGTATTAGCAATGCCATTCTATTTAACGCCTACACTTTATATCAAAGCAAAACGTTAGCGCGCTAATGAGAGATTCGAGAAACGAGAAACAAATGTTGCTTTTTGTATTGACTTCAATTCTCCCTTTATACGAGAGTCAAGTACCGGGTGTTTGATCCCGCTATTCAGTAGTAGCGTTTCTATTCGCATTTCACGCATTCCACGATATGATCTACGTCGACACTTGACGTCGTTCTGGACAACTCGTCTTCAATTGCGTCGACGTTGCTAAGAGACGGGATATAAATGAAACCTGTGTGTGTGTGTGTGTGTGTGTGTGTGCTTGCGCGTGCGTGCATGCGTGTGTGTGTGTGTGTGTGTGTGTGTGTGTGTGTGTGTAAATAGAAGATTTGAGAAATATAAAGGTAAATTAAAGGAGAAATAATAGATAAGAACGAGAAATAGAGCGATTTATGATCTGAATGTTATTCTTTTTAGAAGAAAGATATGTAAATCTTAAACACATGATAATCTGTTATTTATTTAATTTTATATATTATCTATTTTTAGATCGGTTAATAACGTAATGTTTATTTTATTATTACATAATGAGATAGTTAACTTTGAGAAGTAATTAATTCAAAGATAGGAGACAATAAAATGTTTTGTGGCTAAAAGGACAAATGAATTTATTTAAAATTACAATACTTTAGGAATTCGTGCCCGATGATATATGTCGTATTGTAATTATAGAAAAGAAATTAATGAAAAAACGGATCTCCGCAGTCTCATTTGCACATCAGTGAGCTATCCGGGCTGTCAACGCGGTCAGACACGCAAGGTGCCCCTTGCGGCTCGTGTTTCGACACAAAAGTTTCCATCGCGCTTCGCGTGTTCGGAAGTTCTCGCAAGCCGGGAAGAAAGCATTCCCGCGCGAGAGGAAGAGAGGTTTGTCCCTCGGAGAGTCATGTGCGAGACAACGTCAGATGGAAAACGGTGGTGGGTCACGGTACAGTAACGTGTACTGTTAAAGAGCACGCAACAACGAGCGTATTCGCGGGCGCGAATCTGTTGCACGCACCCGTTTACCTCTGTGTCGCCGGTTTCCTGTCCCTCCCTCTACATCTTTTGCATTTATGCCCTTTTATATGCTCTCTCGCGAGATATTAATAGGATGCGTGCCGACCAGGCACGCATGCGACCGGGCACGAGCCTCGTATAACACACCTTTCGCGAAATTAGCAATCGTAGATCTTGTCTCATAAACGATCTTTAGTCATGTATTCTCAGTTCAGTATATAATATACTTAACAAACAGAAAAATTCTTTCCGATGATAGGGATTGTATCCATTTGAGATCTTCAAGTAGATTTTTCAAAAGTTCTCGCAAATTGATTAACAAGAAAAGTCTATTGATATACATTTTAGATTTTTATACAAGTTTTAATTACTATATGTTGTAAATATCAAGGAAAGTATAATAAATCCTCTCTCTCTCTCTCTCTCTCTCTCTCTCTCTCTCTCTCTCTCTTTCTCTCTCTGGGAAAATATTTTTTATCATAAAAATTTTCTAAATATGAATATTAGTACGTATATTTTTTCGTAGTGCTATTCACACGAGAAGATCTTTTTCGTCCTATTTATTAGAAGTTACGAGACTCACTGTTATTTAAGTTATTGTTTCATCCTTGAAAGCTCACGGTTGTATTCACACGGACTACAATCGCATCATAGAAATATCTTTTTTCGTCGATAGATGAGGCTTTCCACATGCAAATGAACGTTGCTCCTGATGAAATGTGCGCGACATAGACTGTGGTTTGCGGCTCGCATAAGGCACTCCGATAGTGAATCGATGAGCTACAGTTTCTGAAAAACATTGATGTAAATAGAAAAATTGCCGAGTCGGTCTTGAAATCTGCACATGAACCACATAATTATTGCGACTGATTGAAATTAACATAAGCTCTGCATCATGCTGTTATTTCCCTTGAGTATTCCGAGATATTTTATATGTATGTACATTGAGTATCGTTGTCATTAAGTAACGAGGCTTCTTCAAATTTCTTTTCCTTCGTTCTCTTCGCAGATAGCGTGCGAGAATATTTATCTTCCAGAATATTTGTCTTGATTTGCGTTTCTCTAATAAACGTGAAAAGATAGAACTTCAACTACTTTACTAGCACGAGGTACAAAGTAATATATTAATATATTATATCAAATATATCTAAAATAAAAAGATATATCATTTTCTAAAAATAATAAACGATCTATATATTTACATGACATCATTCAAGTACCTATGCAAGTCCATAAATCGTATTAATAATTTACTGCGTAAAACATTATTATAAAAGCAGAATTTTCGTTTATAATAAAACAATTGTTCTCTATTAATCGAGAATATTTTTTATTTCGCGATAATTCTTATTGATGATATATTTTATTTATTAAATTTTTACGCAGAGTTTCAGGAGATACGCATTTTCTCTGAATCATAGATATTGAAGGCATAAATAGTTTGAGTCATAAACGATTGTAAATATATAGTACATAACTCTTTTAAGTATCTCATTGCACGCGATAGAACAGTTTTGTGTAGTGCTCTTTTTACATGTTACACATCGGTAAAAATTAACATCGCGTGCAGCCGATAATAAATTTCATTAGCCTGAAATCTATGCGTGCAGTTGGGTTACCTGACAAGCGCGATGGAACGTGTATTACATGTACGCACCTCGCATCCAGATTTGATATTGATATTCAAGGCGTTTCGCGCCTGTCGGGCACGATACTGCCTTTTTTCTTTTTGGCTGCACGAAATTTTATTTTAACATAGAGAGAAGAGAAAAGGTAGTTCTATTTTATATATTTGACCCATAAAATCCTTTAACTTTTATGTCTTATCGTAGTTTTTACGTGCTTGTTTTAAAGTGCGACACGAATTATATAGTTTATCGCAAACTCGGTATTATTATATACATATATATTTTTGATAATAAACGATTTCGATCTAACATTTTCTTTTCTGCATGTTGTGTGTTTTTGACGATGTTAATCATTTATCTGTTTTTCGAAATATCGGCGGAAAAGCACATGACAGAAATGCAACTATTTGAACTTACGTAACAAAGCGATTTACGTATCGTGTTTCGTTGCAACTATACCTTTTTACGTGACATAACTCGCTCGTTTCTCTCTCTTTTCTATCTTGCAGACGCCCGACCAAGGATAGATTCAGTATTTGAATTATTCAATATTTGTTGATGCGATGGATTTGTTTTTCTTGTTACCGCATTTGATAATATGGATAGCATTGGGAAATCGTTGCCGGAAAGCTGAGTATTTCCCTTAAAAGCTATTTTCCTGCAGTGTTACGAAGCGCTTTCTACGTACGTTTCATTTATCTCAATCGGCAGGAATATTTTCGCACGTCTTTCGCATCGTTTCGACAGATTGATTTTATCCGATGCTTCTGTTACTGAAATATAATAAAACGTATTCGAATACTTCAGAAATGATTTATGATTTCTTGAAGCAGAAATTTTTCTATCAGAAATGTATCTATTTCGTGTGGAAATTGTATGTCGCTTAGTCAGGTTCGGGATAATTATAGACCTATTCTACCACGCTTATTCGTGTTACAATCGTCGCGAAAAAATACACGGCTGGTGTGTGACTCACCTATCACATACGTTCCATGTATGGTTGTGCAGCGCATCGTAATACGGCGGATGAGCATCGCGATAGTGTATGCGCCTTGAAACAATAGGCACTTAGATTAACTACTGTACATTAAAACTCAACACGCGGTTTACCGGATACGTATATACTAGTTGAATATGCATTGGACTCAATTCGCCTAATGAGTTTTATTAATTATCGCTTTCATGTATTACGTCGCGCCCGGGATAATTGAGTTGTCTTCGCTGTAAACATTGTCGATCGATCGCTTTGCACCTCGCTCATGTTTTTATGGGATTCTCCGTTCCGTCGTAGAATTCTCCATGTAGAATCGGCTTTTCTTGCCAAGGGTACTTCACTCGTAGTTTCTCGAGTTGACAATCCTCGGGTAAGAGTTGAGAAGATCTATTGAATACGTGACTGTTTAACAATCTAATTTAATGTTCGATATAGGAGAAAATAGGAGATGTTTGTCTATTAATCCTAAAATATACAGTCCATAAGAAGGTATAAAACAAAATCGATTGTATATAGATTATTGTACGCATTTCAAAATATTTAAAAATATTTAAAATTTTTTATAATTTTTAAACGAAGAGAGCTAGAATCTACAATACATACTTTGTTATAAACTATCATTTTCGCATTCTTATTATATCGCTTGCATTACTTTTACACGAGTTATGAATGTACTTACGGATAGAACATCACTAAAGCATCTTATTTAATGAGGCAAGCTGATAAATGATGCCTGAAGTTCATGAATGCTCTTCATTCATCTTCATAGGTTGATAGAGCCTACTGTGTAGTAGCTGCCATGCCAACGTACCATAATGCGGGTGGCGGATACCCGAATGTGTCAGCGCCAGCGAGGCAAGCGAAGCTCGACGGCAATCAAAATCATCACACTATCCCTTCAAACGTAACATCTCATCCTCTCATACAAAACAACACACAGCAGCAACAGCAGCAGCAACAGCAGCAGCAGCAGCAGCAGCAGCAGCAACAACAACAACAACAACAACAACAACAACAACAACAACAACAACAACAACACAGTGTTCCTTCCAACCTGACTACAGGTAGCATTCCGTCCCATCCAGTGTCGCCGACGATGACGACGCATTCGAGTGTCACCACGTCGAATATCACGACACACATGAACACCACGTCTTCGCCGGTAATTCTCACCTCAAATGTCATTAATCCGGGCGCCAACACTACCGCGTTGCCAGCTAATACACGACATGAAGTGAAACTGAACGCTATGCCGTATGTATCATTATTGACTTAGTTTATATCTGCTAATATAACAATGATCTAAAACGAGAAATATATATTGAGATATGCGACAAAATCGATGCAGAAGCATAGTTAAAAAACTACGTACATACTTTATCTGTTCGAAATTGTTTTTTCTATACAGATGGTTTCATGGGAAGATATCGAGGGAAACGGCAGAAAGATTGTTGCGACCACGAGAAGATGGCTTGTTTCTAGTTCGAGAGTCGACAAATTTCCCTGGGGATTACACACTTTGTGTGTGCTACCAGGGACGTGTGCAGCACTACAGGGTGAAATATAAAAACAACCAATTAACGATCGATGATGAGGAATTCTTCGAAAATCTGGCGCTCTTGGTCGAGCATTACGAACAAGACGCGGATGGTTTGTGTACGCAGCTAATGAAATCTTTGCCGAAACAGGGCAAGCAAGATTTTTGTGTGGATCCAAAGGCATTTGTAGAAGCCGGTTGGGTGATTCAGACTCATGAGTTAGAGTTAAGGGAGTGTATTGGAAAGGGGGAATTTGGGGATGTACTGCTAGGCGTTTATCGAGGGGAAAGGGTCGCGGTAAAAATGCTGAAGGATAACAGTGAAGCGGCACAGAGATTTTTAGCCGAGGCGAGCCTAATGACCTCGTTGATTCATGATAATCTGGTTAAATTACTCGGTCTTGTTTTTAATAATCAACACATGTACCTGGTTACGGAATATATGAGCAAAGGATCCCTGGTGGATTATTTGCGGTCGAGAGGAAGATTACATGTTTCAAAAAAGGATCAGATTAATTTTGCATAGTACGTAAACAGAAACAAAATTCGTTTGCCAACTATAAAATACCTGTATATTAATTGTATTATTTGATATATTGTAGCGATACGTGTGCCGGTATGGCGTATCTGGAATCCAGACATGTTGTGCATCGAGATTTAGCGGCGAGAAATGTTCTCGTAGCAGAGGATAATTCCGCCAAGGTGTCCGATTTCGGCCTGGCGCGGGATGAAAACTTTTCTCTTGACGGTGGAAAACTACCGATCAAATGGACTGCACCAGAGGCTCTAAAACAAAACGTAAATATATTATAACTTTATAGGCGAATAAAAAAAAAAAATATATATATATATATCAGTCTATGTTCACGATTATAA